AACTGTGTAACATATGTACCTATCACTTATTTTGGCCACAATTAACCCCTTATTGACACATTTCCTCAAATGAGTGTATACTCATTGGACTAACAACACTGGTGTCCTGGGAGGCCTGAAATCACTGTGGTTCTGTCCTCGTGTATGATTGGCCCCTCCTTTCAGGTCACCAGAGCCAATAGCAGCACACATTAGACTCGCTTGGTGAGTACTATGGCCCATGAGAATCACAGTCTTCTGGATTTCGTGGGTGAGAATCTGGCTCAGAGCAGAGATTTTAAGCTGGTTAATATCAACTTCCTAGTCAGGGAGCCCAGGCTATAGTGAATTAGGGGTAAGTGGTCCATGATTAGGCATAAGCAGAATGAAAATTGGGAATGTGGGACCTGAAAGGTCATCTAATGTGGAAATTTTGAAAATCAGATTCTCTCCCTTCTCGCAAAATTTACTGGGTTCATTTTCTTTCGCTTTCTGAATTCTCCCACATATGCAGTTACTTTGAAAGAAGAAAACAGGTGTAGCTCTTTTAAAATTTTGCGGAAGTTATTTCACATTGGTAGAAGTTGGAACAGCGATGACTAGCCTTCATGCTCACATTTTAAGAGCCAGAAATGCATTCTATATTCAGAGCACGAAACCCTGATATTTAGAGGACTAGATTTTTCCTCTCCACTCCCCTCCCCTCCTCTCCTCTCCTCTCCTCTTCTCTCCCCTCCCCTTCTCTCCCCTCCCCTCTTCCTTCCTCTCACTCTCTTTTTAAGGTTTTTGCCATAGGACACATGCACTTGCTGAAAAGAAACAGAGAGAGACAATGAGAGGGAGAGTGAGAAATCACCCACCAGAGGGGATGGCCACACTGCAATCTCTCCATTCTCCTCTTGGGATTTTTGGGCAAGTACACACACATGCCCAGTGTGAGTCTTAAGCCACCGGATCAGGTGGCCATATGAGAGTCCAGCTCCTAACCACTATACCAGCTGCTGGCCTTAGAGGGCCAGATTCTTATCCCCCACCTTGACTCTGGCAAAGCCTCCCAGAAATATGGATTGTGGCATTAGCTGCCTGAAGTGGAACTGTGGATGACGATGGACAGCTTCCACTGCTCATGGCTAAAAAAGACCAGCCATTACCACCAGCCAAGCTATACCCCTAGAAGTTGCAAATGGGTAAATAAATCACAGAATTTCAAAATATTCACTTTGGACCCTTTCTACTAGTAGAATTGTTGTCTAGGTAGAGAGATGGATTTTTTAAAGGCTTCTTATGCTTAATAATGTGGTTGGTTTCATTTTAAAATAAAGCAAGCATTGGATGGTGACATAGCAGTAAAACGTGACACTCTGCAAAGCATACCTTATGGGGGTGTGCCTAATTATGCTGTGCATGTGTGTGCTATGATTCAGACTGGCTGAAGCTTGGGATGGGCCAGGGAGGGCAAAACCATGTTGGAAGTTTCCTCTCTCTCCCTATCTCTCTTTCCCACTCATAGGATAAATAAGTGAAACTTAGAATTAACTACGTGAAAATAAAGCCATCCCCACAAGACTAACACAGCTGTTAGTTGCAAAGTAATGTACCAGCTTACCCTGGGCATGACTAAGCCAGGTGGCTCTTTCCTGGTTCATTGCTCCTGGAGTGTGTTCACCGAGATCTCCATTCTTCATTGTTCCAAAGTAAAGAAATGAATCATTTTGAGTGCAAGAACTTGTCGCCAACAAAATTTTAGAAAGATGACCCTGTTGCCATTTGACTGGGCAATTACCAAAACTGGGCAGATAAGATACATTCCCTCATTAGATGTTGGCAGAGTTTTGCTCCTTTTAGAAGCAAGGGTCACTGTGAGAGGTCTCTGTGGGGATGGATCTCTGAGTATGGCTCTCTATAGAGGTCTTGGGATCTCTGGGTGTGTATCTCTGTAGAGGTCTCTGGGTATGGGTCTCTGTATAGGTATCTGGAGAGCCCAGTGAGGGTCTCTGTGGAGATCTCTGGAGGTCTCTTAATGTAGGTCTCAATGGAAATCTCAAGGGATATTTAGATGTGAGTCACTGGGAAGGTCTCTGTGGGTCTCTGCAGAGGTCTCAGAGAGGGTGGAGGTCTCTCTAGAGGTCTGAAGTGGTCTCTGGGTATGAGTCACTGCCAGAGGTCATGTGGGGGTCTTAGGTCTCTATGGAGGTCTCTGGAGGGTCTCTGAGTGTGAATCTTTGTAAAAGTCTCTGGAAGGTTTTTGGATATGGGTTTCTCTAGAGCTCTGCGGAGATCTTTGGCTGAGTCCCTTTGGAGGTCTCTGGGAAGTCTCTAGGTGTGGATCTCTGTGGTTATCTCTGCGATGTCTCTTGGTATGGGTCTCTGTGAAAGTCTCTGAAGTTCTCTGGGTGTGGATCACACGCAGGTGTCTCTGGGGCAATTCTGGGTGTATACCTCTGTAGAGGTTCCTGAGGTCTCTGGTGTGGGTCTTTGTAGCAGTCTCAGAGGGATCTCTGGGTGTCAGTCTTTGTGGAAATCTTTAGGAATAGAAATCTGTGGTCTCTGAGGGTCCCTGGAGGGTCTTCAGGTGTAGAACTTTGTGTAAGCCTGGGGCGGGGGCCTCTGGGTATGGGTCTCTATGGAGATTTCTGGGGAGAGGATATGAGTCTCTCTAGAATCTCTGGTAGGTCTCTGGGTGTGGGTCTCACCATAAGCCTCTGGGTAGGTCTCTGGGTCTCTGCCGAGACCTCTGAAGGTTTCTGGGAATCTTGTGTAGGCCTCTATGGAGGTCTCTGTTGAGATTGCTCGTGAGCCTCTGAATGTGGGTCTCTGTTGAAGTCTATGGGATATCTCTGGGTATGAATCTCTGTAGAAGTCTCTGGGTGTGGGTTTCTGTGATGATCTCTGGAGCATCTCTGGGTGTGGGTCTCTGTAGAGATCTTAGGATATGAGTCTCTGGAAGTCTGTGGAGGTCTCTGGGTATGAGTGTTTATCTGAGGGTCTCTGGGTGCGGGTCGCTGTCTTAAGTTTCTGTCGGTCTCTGGGTATGGGCTTCTGGCGTTCTCTGGGAGCCTCTGGCTGGGGGGGTCTCTATAGGAAACTTTAGGGAGTCTCTAGGTAGGGGTCTCTGTGGAGACCTCTGGGAGAATCTCTGGATGTGGGTCTCTGTGGAAGTCTCTCAGTGTCTCTGGATGTTGGTCTCTGTGGAGGTCTCCAGGTGGAGGTCTCTGTAGAGGTCTCCATCTCTGGCCTCTCTGTCCCTTGTGGAGACAGTGTTGAGCAGCACGGGGACGTGCTTCTCCTGGGCCCATTGCTCCCTGGTGTCCCTGTGCTTGCCCTTCTCCCCAGAGCCTGGGTGCACATCCACTCCCTGCCCAGCCTGGTACCCACCCCTCAGTGCCCTGCAAGACACAGCCCGGCTCTGGCTCCGGACACAGCTTCGGCGTTCCACTCCAAGGGGCCGGCTGTTCTCTGTCCACATCCTGGTCCCTCTGGGAGCCCTGGCTATTCATGGCCCACACTGGGCTGCCTGGGTCATAGGGCCTAGAAGGGGCTTGGCTGCAGGGGGATGCTGTGGCAGCTGGAGCTGGGCAGGCCTGGGCCTGTCCCCTGCTCCACTCTTAGAGACTGCTAGAGAAATGGCTCTTCCTTGGCCTGCTGTGGTGCCGCCTGCTTTCCCACGTCAAGGGGGCCGTGGGCAGAGGGAACAGTGCTGGAAACCAAGTGAGGGGAGGCAGGTACACCCGCGGCCTGCCTCCTTTTAGACAGGTCTGGTTACATCCGCCTTACAGGTCTCTGGGGTGAGCAGGGACTCAGCACATGAGTCTGTGTGGCCCTGGGCCAGCCCCTGGGCCTTGAACCACCATCCTCCTCCACACATCTTTGTCAAGGGCGAAACACCACACCACTGTTCCCTGTCCTGGCTTCCCTCTTGGCCCCCTCTCTGGATCAGCGAGCAACACCTGCAGCTGGCCACGTGCATTGTCAGGAGTCCCATCTCCTGGCAGGCTCTGCTCCTCTCCTGTCTGGCCTCTGTGCAGGGCAGAGGGCTCCTCCAACTCTGGGTTCTGGGTGAAGCAGCTCTGTGTAGTCAGAACAAGCCTCTGGCCCTGAGGTCTCCTCCCAGTTAGGCCATAAATACAAGGACTTCTGGGGCTCTCTCCCCTGTCCTCCCAGTGGCATCTCAGGCTGCTGCCTCCTTCCTAGGCTCCAACCTTAACCACTTTCACATGGTGACTGCAACAGTGGACCAGAGGGAAAGGCAGGAACCTGGGCAGGGTGGACACCCCCTCCACAACCTCCTGCTGTCCCCCCACACAGAAGAGCTACAGGTCTGTCCTCACTGCTGCTTCAGAGTGTTAAGAAGGCAAAGATCAGGGAGGGTGAGCTAGGGATGGGAGGGTGCTTAGCAAGAACTTCTCCACCCCCCTTCATCAGGATAAAAGGGGCTCACTGTGGCAGGTGTATCTGTGCCCCTCCAGGAGATCCAGGGGCAAGTTTCCTCTTACCCTGAAATCAGGACTAGCCCTGTGCATTCCAAACCTCTGCAGCCGTCTCTGTGACAGGTTACTTGTCAGGGCCACCAGCTGGAGCCCAGGGAGGTTCAAGGGTAAGTGGAGAAGGGAGTACCAGTGGAGTCAGAGGCTGGGGAGGGGGCCCTTCTAGGGGTTGCTCACCCCAACATGCCCCATGGGGTCAGAGACGGGGGAGGGTCCTAGGGGTTGCTCAGCCCAGCATGCCCCATGGGGTCAGAGGCTGGGGAGGGGCCTAGGGGTTGCTCAGCCCAGCATGCTCCATGGGGTCAGAGGCTGAGGAGGGTCCTAGGGGTTGCTCAGCCCAGCATGCCCCATGGGGTCAGAGGCTCTTCAGTCTCTGCAGTGATCTCAGGGGCATTAAGGGGATCTGTCTGCAGAGCCTCTGGCAGCCTCCCTTCAGGCCCTGTCCCATCCAGAACAGGGTCAATGCTGCGACCTGGGGTGGGCTGGCCAACCTTCATGATGCCCTGCACAGCACAGACAGAAGCCACCTCCTCCAAGGAGCAAACATGTGTATTAGGAATCAAGGAATGGGTGGGAGTGAGCATTGGCACACAGGTTGTGCTCACGTGAGATGTGGGCTGCGGTTATCTGGGTAAGTGCGTTCCCCCAGCAGGGACAGCATGACGAAGTTGCTCCGGTGGGCCAGATAAGATCCTTCTCTGTAGGAGACAGTGTCTAGGACAGTGGACAGGACGGCCCAAGCCTGCTGGCCTCCATGGCCCATGCGGCTGGCGCCTGGCTGGGTACACGGGCTGCCTGGCAGGTGAGGCCCCCTTGCTGTCCTTGTCTTGGATCCAGCAGCTCTTGATGGGACAGCTGTGGCCCCTGGGGGCAGTGTGGTGACTGCAGCTGGCAGCACTCACCTGTCTCCTTTGCTCTGAGGAAGAGGAATGAGCACCCCCACAGACCTGGAGTTCCTCTCTGTGTGAGCTCGCCTTGCAGATAGAAAGCTTGGTCTCCAGAATCTGGTCAATGGCAGTTGTGAGCGCATAGGCTTTAGCCACCTCCTTGTCTGTGGGCCACATGTCTGTGACTTGCTGTGGACCCAGAGCAGGGGCCCTTGCAGCTGGGCCTTTCTGCAAGGGTTTTTCCTGCCTTGTCTCTTTATCCTTATCCAGGAAAACCTTTTGTAGAAATTGCTTTATCTTGTTCCCAAAGGAGTTTTCTGCAGGAGCTCTCCCTCTGTGCGGCAGCACCGGGGAGGGCTTGCTTCTTTGAAGCTCTTCTGCCTGCCTGCCTGGTGCAGGGTGGCTTGTTCCACCTGCCTGGTGTCGGGTGGCCTGGGGGCACTGAGGTCCCACCAGACTTCGTTCCTGCCCTCCTGGCCTGGGCCTTCTACAGCCCCCACTGTTCTCAGGAGGGCAAGACATCTTGGTCTGACTCTTCAGTTGGTGCTGAAGTTTTGGGGGGCTGGGCGCCTGCTGCCCCTGGCTGCTCCTTGCCCTTCCAGAGAGGTCACTTGGCTCTGAGGAAGCCGATGTGCTACTGCTGCTGAGGCTCAGGAAGCTGGGCAGAGCGGTCTGAGGGGGTGCAGACATGTCCCTGTGCAGGAGCACCTCAGGAGTGCTCGTGCGAGGGGGTGTGCCAATGACACAGCCAGGAAGGAGGGTGTCGAGGGCAGGGTCTTCAGGCTGGCCCTCTGAGCATAAATCCTCTTCTTGTTCAGACTCGTCAATGATCTGTTCCTCCAGGCAGACCACCGGGCATTGTCGGGGGACAGCCCTCAATGACCCGAGGGGTTTGAGGGCACAAAGGCTTCTAGACAGTGGGGGGCCTTTTCTGGTCTGCTGAGACCCTGACCCACACAGAGTGACATTTGCAGCTGGGGAGCTTGCCACCACATGGGCTCCCGAGACGGCTTGGGGTGACTGGTCCCCAGGATGAAGCCTCCAGGTAGGGGTCGTCCCCTCGTTAGCCTTCACTGTCTCCTCGATCCCCCTGGCTATCGATGAGCAGGGTTCTCCCCTGGACTCCAGCGTCATTCTGCTGCTGGCGCCACGCTCACTCCCCTGTTGTGGCCCACCCCTGGCCAGGGCTGGACCTGGGCTTAGCTCTGGGCTGGCTCTCCCAGCCCCTGAGACAGGCTTACTGTGCTGGGCTCTGCATTCAAAGCCTGTGAGGGGCTGGGAAGGACACCCGGCCCTCTGTCTCATGGGAGAGGCCTCCGAGGGCCCAGAGGGTGCCTGGCTCAGGGTGTCCTGGACTTCCTTACTTGCAGGCGGGGCAGCAGGGGGAACTGTTTTCAGCGTGGAGGCTGCCTCCGTCGCCATCTGTCCTGGAGTCCTCCCAGAAGGTTCTCTGGGGAAACTGACTACCTTGGCTGTCGGGTTGGCCCCAGATCCATGGGTGTCCAAGGAGGGAAAGGCGAGATGAGGAAGGGGCAGGGGTTGAGTCGTTCTCAACTTAAGATTCATGGACTTGAGGACAGGCGGCGGTGGGTCCCCCCTCTGAATGCTCTGAAAGTCGCCCTTCCAGCACCTGCTGCACGCCTCGATCTAGGGGAGGAAGCTCCTGCAAGGTTTTCTCACAGGATTCCCCATCATGCGAGGATGCTGGAATTCCAGTTTCCATAGGAGTATGGAAGTTTTCAGGCAGGACGCAGTCATGGCCAGAAGCCAGCCTGGAGTGAGGAGCCCCCGTGGGGAGCCCGCTGTCATCCCTGTGCTCCAGCTCCCTGCTCAGGTACACTTCGAGAACGTCTTCTAGATGCTTCTTGTCCGGGCTCCTTGATGAGATGCTTTCTGCCTCACTTGTGGGGAGCCTCGAGTCCCGTTCTGTCAGCCTCGCAGTGCTAGCTGGGGTCCTCACTAGGGAGCTTTCTGGACCTCTGGGTGAGGCTTTCAGGACTGGCCCCCAACAGTGCCCCAGATCCTGGCCTGAGTTCTCCCCGGGTTGGAACTCTTCTGGGTTCCCAGACCACATCATCTGTATCTTCTGGCTGCTGTCACCTGTGGACACCAGGGGCCAGGAGGGCCCACACTTGCCCTGGGCTTGAACAGTCCTCGGCAGTTTGCACCAGGGCTGCATCAGTGAGCGACCGGGAGTGAGCTGGGTCTTGTGGGGCAGTCCATACTGGTGTGGTATGAACTTTTGTTGAAGGTGTTGCTCCAGCTGGTCCTGGAGCTTCAGACCAGTGAAGCCTTCTGGGAGGTCAGAGATGGGGTTGCAGCCCTGGTAGGCCCTGCTGTTGGGAGGGAGCTGGCTAGAGACTTTCTGAGACTTTCTGACCACAGAAGGTAAAGCTCTCCTGGTTTCCTTTAGCTTTTTCAAAAGGTGATGTTCCAGGTGTCGAACAGCACTTGGGATAAAAAATTGGCCCTCCTTCTGGAGGGCAGAGCAAGATGGCCCAGCGGCCCTAAATGGAGGTGAATAGCATGGCAGGAGATGGGCCTGGGCTGGAGCCAGAGGTGGGGGATAAGGCCGAGACAGGGTCTGAGTCAAAGGTTGGGGTTGGGCCGCACGGCGGGCCAGTGGCCGGGGTGGGAAAAAGTGTGGAGGTAGTTTAGATGGACCCTGTACCGGGAAGGAGTTCGAGAGTCCATTGAAAAAGACACAGGGAAACCCTGGTGGAGAACCAGGGGCCCTGACAGCAGCCACCAGGGACTCGCTGTGCAGAAAGGGGAGACCCCAAAAGAGCTGGCTGTATTTCTGCTGTAAGTCAGTCCCCACGACCTTGGAGTAAGGGAGCTGCTGAGGAGCAGATGGCTGTTCTGGGTCGTCTTTGCTGTCCCAGCAGGGCTGTGGGGTGGTGGTGTCCTTTCTGTCCCCCAGTGACTTCAACACACTCCCGAGAGGGTCCAGGGCGCGTTCTAGCCCCACCCCTGCCTTCTCCTCCCACAGCTTCCGGGTTCTCTTGGTGATCAGCATCTCCAGCACTGTTTGCACAGCAGGGCTGATGGAGGGGGCACTGCCAGCCTCCGCCTGCCTGTGCATGGCACCCGCCCACAGTGGTGCCTCTTGTGGGTGGTGAGAAAGCTGCTCTTGCTGGGGTTTGCTGTGTGATGAGGCAGACAGGCCCCATGCTCCGACAGCTGTCTGCCACCAGGAGAGAGCTGAGATGGGGCAGCTCGAGCTGCCAAGGCCAGAGATTGCTGGGACAGGCGAGGTCAACCAGCGGTTGCTCTGTGCAGACAAGTTTTGTGGGGCTGTGCCCAGTGGGAAGGCCGTGGGGCCACACTGAGGAGATGCCGTGCTCGGGGTTGGCAGAGGTAGGGGGCAGGCCACGGGATCAGGGGGGCATGATGGAGAGGAAGGTGCACAAGGTTGGAGTGAGGGGTGTTCTGGGGGGACTGTGTCCAGTGGGAAGGTTGTGGGGCCACACTGGGCAGCAGCCATGCTGGGGACTGGAGGAGGTGGGGGCCAGTCCACAGGGTCAGGGGGAGAGGGTGGAGGAGGAGAAGGGGCACAAGGTTGGAGTGAGGGGTGTTCTGGAGGGATTGTGCCCAGTGGGAAGGCTGTGGGGTCACACTGAGCAGCAGCCATGCTGGGGACTGGAGGAGGTGGGGGCCAGTCCACAGGGTCAGGGGGAGAGGGTGGGGGAGGGGAGGGGGGACAAGGTTGGAGTGAGGGGTGTTCTGGAGGGATTGTGCCCAGTGGGAAGGCTGTGGGGTCACACTGAGCAGCAGCCATGCTGGGGACTGGAGGAGGTGGGGGCCAGTCCACAGGGTCAGGGGAAGAGGGTGGAGGAGGAGAAGGGGCACAAGGTTGGAGTGATGAGTGTTCTGGAGGGATTGTGCCCAGTGAGAAGTCCATGGGGCCACACTGGGCAGCAGCCATGCTGGGGACTGGAGGAGGTGGGGGCCAGTCCACAGGGTCAGGGGAAGAGGGTGGGGAAGAGGAGGGAGAGCAAAGTGGGAGTGAGGGGTGTTCTGGGGAGACCATGCCCAGTGGGAAGGCTGTGAGGTCACACTGAGGAGCAGCCATGTTGGGGGCTGGCAGAGATGGGGGGCAGGCCACGGGATCAGGAGGGCACGGTGGGGGAGGGGAAGGGGCACAAGGCCAGGGTGAAGGGCGTTCTGGAGGAATATGAGGCTCTGGTGTCAGAGAGCCACCCAGGGGTGAATGCAAACCAGCAGGAACTGGGGAGGTCACTGGTCCTGGTGACAGAGTGGGGGCCACAGGCAGACGGCACTCGGTCAGAGGGTCCAGGGGAGCCGATGGGGGCGAGAGAGAAGCATCTTGCACTTGCTTCCCACATGGCCGGTGGACTCTGGCAGGTGCTGGTCTGCGCTCCTCATCTGGGGGGCCTTGATGGAAGCCACCCGTGACAAGAAGCTTCCCCATGTGGCTGCAGGAGACAGCAGGTGCCAGCTGCAGCCAGGAGCAGATGGGGCTCAAGGGCCAAACAGGCAAGGACACCACGGCCATGGCCCTTCCCTGCCCCATGCACCGACTTTACAGCACTCACAAACCGCTCCTTCCCATGGGCTCTCCCTTCCAGGCCAGCCCAGGCCCTGGCAGGCAAGGACAGACGGAAGCGGAAAGCTCCTCACCTTCTCAGAAGAAAACTCAGTTCCCGAACCTCCTCCAGGTCTTTCCGGCAGTCTCTGCAAGCTGGAAGTCAGGAGACTGGGTCATGGGTGGGGAAGGGAGTGCCTGGAGGAGGCTGAGTGCAAGGTCCCTTGAAGGCAGACCAGGGGCCCTGGAGCTCGTGCCTCATTTTCCAGGGCCCCTGCCCCAGCCATGATAGCAAGGGGCACAGGTGGCAGTGTGTGATCACAGGCAGCATGCTTCTGTGCACATCACCCCCCACAGTCTCACAGTCACCTGTGTGGGGGAAATATGGGCCCATCAGAGAGGAGTCAGGCTTAGAGAGTGACACCCTCAACCACAGTTGGAGCTGGAGGTCCTTAGAAATCTAGACACTGTTGGTCCCAGCCTCATTCCAAGCTCAGGCATTTCCTCCTAGGAATCCCCTTTGCATGGCTCTGGAGCTGGCATTCATGGAGACAGCACTGTCCCTGGGAAGTCACATGGCCTCCGGGGGCTCAGGGTGGAGGGGCAGAGCCTTACCTTTCAGAACGCTGGCCTTTCTGCTCTTGCTCCTCCCCTTCTTCTGCAGTAGATGCTGAGGGACAAGGAAGCATGAGGAACTGGGACCCCGTGCTTGCTCTCACCTCCCCAGACAGCCTCAGACCTCTGTTCCTGAACCCGACTTTGACACTTAGCAGTGGAGCTCTGCATTCTTTCCTTCACTTTACTCCTATTGTTAAAGTTTACTTCTTTCTTTTAGAGAGGGAGAAATCTCACCCTCAACCGGGTCTGGATCCCATGACCCTCTCTGTCAGGAAGCCCTGGTCATGGGCACACATGTGCCTGGTATCCTCAGGGAGGTCTGCAGAATGGACCCTGCTCTGTGGTATTGCTTCACAGAGTATCCTGCTTTATTACTGAGCCACCATCTGACACCTCTCAGAGATGTATCTACTTATGTCTGACGTAGGTAAAAATCCTTTTTTCTTTTTGAAAAATGCAAAGAGGGATTTTCTAGGGGATGTCCCGGGATGTCCTCAGTCACTGTTCCCGTGCTCAGCTGAGGCACATCTAAACTCAGGTCTGGGTGTGCTTCTGAGTGGACTTCAATCTCTGACCCCCGGGTCCAGAACAGCCCTAGATGAGCCTGATGCAGAGAGGCTCTGCCCAGGTACCTGCCACAAGAGGATGACGACTAAGCAGAGCAAGACTGTCTCCCACAGAAACCCCCCAACTCTGTCTAATTCAGAGTCCAGGTGCCTGACTTTGCCCTGGTGCCTCCAGCTCACTCACTCATGGTCTGAGAGCTTCAGGTAGAAATCCAGGCCTACTCTGCCCCTGCCCTCCCAGGTCCTCCAGGAGGATGCTCTGGTTTTTCCTAGATTTCTCATCTCTGGAGTCTCTCTAGTTGATTTGGAAAAGTGGAAAATGGTAGAAAAGTCGGGCAAAAGAGTCATTGTTTGGCTGAGAGTTCCTTACCTCTCTGACGGTTCTCTTTTTCCCCGAGGGTGGCTTGCTCTGGAGGAAAAGACAGAGCAGGAGGAAGAGCCCCAGCCCACACAGGATGCCAAGGGTGACATCTATCACCCAGGCAGTGGAGCTGGGGCTCAGCCATGTGGCACTAACGCTTTTCAGAGGGAAGAGAAGATTCTCCATCTGAATCTAGAAGATTCTCCATCTGAATTGCACTGTTGCTCTCAGGCAACTGAGCCCTGAGCCCTGGGGGTTCTCTTTTGAGCCTGGGGCGTGGCCTGCATCACAGAGCTGTGGCCTGTACATCACAAAGGGCCAGGGGAGAGGGGGGAGGGGAGGGCTGGAAGAGGGAATGGTTGAAGCCAGGTCCCTCCCCAACCAAGAAGCCAGGCAGATTCCCTACCTTCCTGGGTTTCTGGATTCCTCTTTTTACTTTTTTTTTTTTTAATTTATTTATTTACATTCATTCACTATACATAATTACAGCATAAAAATGAGATTTTCCATACAGTATACACTGTATATTGGCTTAATCAAGCACATCAACATACATGTTATCATCAACAAATAAGTTTCCATTTCTTGTTTCCTGTATATTTTGCTTTTTTCCCATCCTTGATTCTCTATTTCTCACCCTCTGCCCTCTCCCACCCTCCTCCCACACTGTCTCTGGTATCCATGGTTGCTTTCTATGCCTCCCCCCCCCCCCAT